ACATTCAGGCGGGTAAGAAGAGAATCAGGAGGGTAATGTCAGTGAGGGAATGAACATATGCACCTATTCTATTACATTCTTTCAGGCAAATGGAATGCACTCCCTTCTCCTCTCTGCCTTTTTAGAATCTCTAGCTTTCTTCAGAGTTTATCTCAAGCCCAACCTTCTCAATGAAGCCTTTCATGAGCCCTTCCAGCAGCAAATATCTCTTCCCTTCAAAATTAGAGGCAGTTCTGCCTTAACAGACATGACATACTTGTTCCTAAAAATCACCTTATTATGCCACATTGCACAATAAAATTCACAGGGCTTATGGGGGAAATAGGGTCAGGGGCATTCTAATTCAGTCCTGGGGAAGTCACCACAGCTTTGGCACGGGGAACCTCTACAGTGGAATCCTGCTAAGTGACAACATAGCTGCCCCATAAGGGGCATGTGTGGGATCATCCTATGACCAGGGACAGAAGACCTCTCTTCTGTGAGGTGACCTGGGGGACCATCTTCCCCTCACCCCCCACAGTTCTGGGCCCATTTTCACTGAGGCTATGTGCCCTAACCAACTCTGGCTGGGGTTTTGAATCTGGGGAAATGAATCTCTGGCATGGGAGCCAAAGAGGTTGGGTCATTGTGGTACCTGTTCTGGGGTAGGCTGGCATATTAGCAGCTTCCTGTCTTTCCTTCCTTACCTGCTTCTCCAGAACCCCATCTTTCCTTCCCTTAAGTGTTATGTCCCACCCTTCCCCCCACCCCCAATAGCTCTCAATTCATTCTGGGTAGAGAAGATGGGGGTGACCTCTACAGGAGGGGAATGGCAGCCCCACCCCCACCCCTATGCGTGTCTCGCCAACAGGATGACAAAAATGCACAGAAGCAAATACAAAATTCTTTTTATGAATAAACTGTCCTTTAATACATCAATCAGGTTGGAACAAATTTTCTAAACAAGTGTCATAGCAGAACTGCCTGTGCTTTGGTTTATTTTATATATAATTACATATGTTTTCTCCCTGGTCAAATATAAACTTCCTGAGGGCAGGTATTCTTTCATATTTATCTTTGTATCTCCAGTGCCTATATAGTGCCTGGCACATAGTAGGGATTTAATAAATTGCTTACTGATTGATTGATATTGTTATCATTATCATGAATTCCATGAAAGGTCGGGCATCCCTCATGTGTGTGAGCACATGTGTGACAGCACATGTGTTGACAGATTCACACCTTTTTATTCCCTATTCCCCATTCGAATTTCCTTCCCCTGTTTCCCCATTGGTTGGGTACCATAGAAATTCAGCCTATCTGAAGTGCCCACTTTCCAATTACATCTCTCACTCCACACAATTCAGCTACCAGGCTCTTATTTGGGAACACCCCTTTTGATGTTAATCTGTACCTAACCTCAGAACCATTTTTGTTGGTCAGTCCATTCACCAACCAATTCCACTTTATGGCTTCTTAAAGTAACCTTTGTTCAACTTCCATCTAGCCTCCAGATTTTACCCCTGTGGAAACAAAAATCAGCCATTTCCCACACTCCCTCCCACAGTCCAAACTGACTCAACTGCTGTCACGTAAGCATTCAACCCCTGATTGAGTGATATGCAGAAACGACAACCCCAACCACATTTTCCACAATAAGAAAGAATTTAGCCATGCAAGACTTAAGAACTCTGTGAATGTTCACCTTTCTGAAGCTTAAGATTAGATTTAATGACAAAGTGAAACTCTTAATCAATATCCAAAATAGACTTCTATAATAAGTAAATCATGTTGGCAAAAATATCCATTAATTCCCAGTGCAGTCACCCTAGATCAAGTTCTGAGACCTTGACCAAGGCTGAGACCCTTGTAACAGCCTCCTAATTGGTTTCCTTGACTTCACTCCATCTTATCTTCTGTTTATCCTTTACATAGCTACCAAAAAACGTTCCTAATCCATAGAAATTTTTACTCCCCAACTCAAAAACTTCTAGTAAAGTTTTTGACTCAAAAACCACCTAATGAATTAAATTAAAACTCCTTAATCTGGCATTTCCAGGCCTTCCACATTCTTTCTCCAACCTTTCTGGAGCCTTATTTCACAACACTACCCTTTAATAAATTTTATGCTTCAGCCAAACTTAGTTACATTCCCATTCTGACTACCCCTTCCCCTGCCCCAAGGGCCATCTCCAGTCATTTTGATCTATATCTTGCCATAGGACCCAGATGACTCCTGAGGAGAAAGTGATGCTGGTGACTTTCCACAGCCCTCTCTGTCATTGAAATCCAATTCACTTGCAAGTCATGGCTTCACCTTCCTGATGTCATGGTCCTCTTGGAGAACGAAGGATAAACAACAACAGTAACCCCTGTCCCAATATATACATTTACTTCTACAGTCTCTGTTTTGACATGGGAAATGAGACTTCTCTCATATCCCCTGCCTGCTGAAGTCCTTCCAAGTTTAGCTTACACATCCCCTTCCTGGAGCCTTCCTTAATCCTGAGATCTAAAATGACCTTCATCAAACCTTTCATGACATTCTATCTCTCCTATTCCCCACCCCTTTTGGACTGGATTGGATTCAAGGCCAGACATTGCAATTGCTGGCCAGACAGCTTCACCTGGCTTTAGTAAAGCTGTTTTTATAGTTCTCCTGGTATCTACGGGAATGCCAAACTGGTTATTTCCCATATTGGGTCACCTATTTGTTGACACAGCTTATTGTGTGCTTGTGAATCTCTTTATTAGGGCACCTCAGGTGACTGAACTCTCATCAGTAGGACCTGACCAGTCAAGGTAGGGCCAAGGTGGCAGAAAGGAAAATGCTTGGATGGAATTTCTCTGCTGCCCAATTTGAATATTTAAACATTACTATCACTAAATTGAGGGCAGCTAAAGTGGCACAGTGTACTAGGCCTAGAGTCAGGAAGACCTGAATTCAAATTTGGCCTCATACATTTACTACCTGTGGTACCCTGTGCAAGTCACTTAACCTTGTTTGCCTCAATTCCTCATCTGTAAAATGAGCTGCAGAAGGAAATGGCAAATTATTCCAGTATCTTTGCCAAGAAAACCCCAAATAGGGTCATGAAGAGTTGTACATGATTGAAATAACTGAACAACAATAACAAATCATTAAATTAAAAAAAAAAGAATGTTTGGAATAAACATTGTATAAATCACAAACCCAGTTAGTTTACTTGCCTGCCGTAAGTGCTTGAGGTCAGTCAAGACCCTAGCAGGGGCCCCAGTTTTGACAATGGCAGTGACAAGAAACAAGTCTTGGGAGAAGTCTGGGTAGGTCCAAGAGCCACTCTGTTCAGGTTGTGCAATCCAACAAACATTTAATTAGCACCTTCTATGCATAAGGTACTGTGCTTTTAAAGGAAAATTAAGATGGGGGCAGCTAGGTGGTGTCATGGATAGAGCACTGGCCTGAAGTCAAGAGGACGGGAGTTCAAATATGGCCTCAGACCAAACGCTTGACACTTACTAGCTGTGTGACCCTGGGCAAGTCACTTAACCCCAATTGCCTCACAAAACTACTACAAAAAAACCCAAAAAAACAAAAAAATAAGATGGTCCTGTCTTTCAAGAACTTCACAATCTTAATCAAATCTCCAGTAGCAGTTTAGATGCATTATTTCAATAGTATAGAAGCAGTCAAATTTTATAAAAGAATACTTTCCCCCAGAAAATATACCACCAGGTTACCATGTGAATTACTTGTTTACCAAGGAATTTCTTTGAGGCCTGGCAATCTCACATCACACTGAGTCCTGTTTCTCCTATTCTGCTTGTTACATTTCCCTGAACGGTTTGTTTGATCCTGATAAACCTAGTCACAACTCAGATACTTCCTAAAGAAAATTAGTGAGTTGAATTTTGTTCTGGTCCAAAAGGACCTATGTATGTTCAGTTACCTCTCTGACTCCCATCTCAGGCTAAGCTAGATGGCTAAGGGTGGTCAGAGGTCCTAGGGCCCTACCCCATATCAGGCTAGGCACACTTTTCATTAAAATACATTGAAGCTGTCTTTGAGACTTAGTAAGCCCAGAGGACAAAAGGACTAGATTATAGTATAGTACAAAAGCCAAGGGTCTAGTCCTCTTTCCGGCTTCTGACTGGAGGACCAGCATGGACAAGAAACACCAAGCCAGGGAAGGTTGGCTCAATAGAATCAATGCTGGTTCTGGATCTTTCCCCTGCTCTGTCCTTTGTTGAACATCAGGTCAGATGTTCCTTCTGCATCTCATTCTGTTTCAGTTTTGACCCTGAGCTGCAAGTCAGTTGCTCAATTCATCACAAGAAGCATGGCTTTTGAGAGCTAATAAGAAAACACGTCTCAAGCCCTTCAGCAAATAGAGGTGTGGAATGAAGCACACATAGACACAGCCAATGAGTTTCTAAACATGCTAATTTATATAAGAAAGGATTCCATTGTGTGTGTGTGTTGAAGGGGAAGTGATTAAAAAGTGACAATGATGTGGAATAAGAAAAGAGCACCAATAAAACATAAAACGATTTTTAAAAATAGGTATATGGTAAATAGAGTATTTGAATTTCTCACACTTTCAACTTTCTGTTTATTTGGAAGGAAAATTTAGAAGGCAACTAGATGGTGCCATAGAATGCTGAGGTTTGAATCAGGAAGACCTGAATTCAAATCCTGTCTCAGGCACTTCATGAGCTGTGAGACCCTGGGCAAATCACTTAAATTCTTAGCCTCAGTTTCCTCGTGTATAAAATGAGAACAGTTGGATTCAGAGGTGTCTAAGGGCCTTTCTGGTTCTTCACATGATTATCTTCACAGTACTTCTCTCAAAGGGTTGTGTAGAAACTGAAATGAGATGATGTTTGGAAAGTACTTTGCAAATTTTAAAGTATTGTAGAAACATGAGTAATCATTATTCTTAAGAGAATGCCAAATGCCATTCATATACCACATTTCGTGAATCTTAAATGACAATGGCAAACGAATCAGTATTTCATAGGTTAACCAATGAAGCACTTACCTTAATCATCAGCTTCACAGCTCTTACTGTGTCCTCTGCCAAAACATCAAAAGGTTCAAAAGATCCCTCAAAAGAGATGAAAACCCTCATTTTATAATTGCCTGTTTAAAAAAAAAATCCAAAAGATCTTGCTGAGCTAACAAAACACACTTGCAAAAGTCTTCCTTTGCACAATTGAGGGCAAAAATGATAGGCAGCTGCAGCTATAAATATCTCACCACAAAGCCTAGCTTCTCTTCCAGGAGAAGGACTGATTTGCCAAGGAAAGTCCCACAGTACCAGGCGACTGCAGACAGTAGTTACATTGTGCTCGGGTATACCAAAGAGAGTAGGCTAAAACCATCCTGTGCTCAGATTAAGAGAAACAACTACATTCTCACTGGTGAAGGCAAGTCTGAACCACCTTCTAGCACACAAATACCAGGACTGCCTGCTCAAATCTCACCAATATTATAAGTGACACCTACTTGTTCTTAGCTTCCTACTTGCTGGTGGAGAGCAGAAAGCTGATTACCAAATCCTTGGAGATGGGAGGGTATGTGCCAGCCATCAGGATAATCCTCTGTTGATTTTGTTGACTGGGGCAATCCTTAAAGTACTCTGTAAATAACTCTGAACCAAAGCATTCTAGTTTCCATAACAACTTTGCACACTTCTTTCCGGGATGACATTTCTAAGCTTGTTTTTTGCAGAGGGCAGAACAGTGACGCCTTACACCAAGGAGATGAATGTGTGGGCCAATGATTCTATTGTTTCCTCTGCCCATCTCTGCACAATGGAAGCTGCCATTTAATAACAATATTACTCTGTGTTTCCTCCTGCACTTTTCTGGATGGTTCAGTATTTATAAGACTTAGTACACTGTACCATTGTTATCTCATTCATCTTCAGAACCCTCCGGTAATGTTAATAGAAAGTGTTTTCAACTCTATTGTATAAAGAACCAAGAAACAAAGCAAAGCTAGGGAGTTACCCAGGCTTATAGACAGTAAATAAATGCTATTTGTTAGAATTAATGCTTGGACCTATTGCATACCTGGAAGGTTTAGTATTGAAAGAAGGTTAGACTCTTGAGTAGGCCTTCAAAGGAAAACACATGGAATAGATAAGCAATGTATATTAAATTATCTGACAGCTGATTATTTTCAGGGAATTTACTATTAAGAATTATATACATAGGTAATCATTCACTGACAGCTAGAAACTGCACTCTCTGGGTCTTAAAGTCACAGTAAAGGGGATAAAATCATTAAGGTTTAAGTGGGTTATTGGGTCAAATTCTTTCGGGCAGGACCCACATGTTGTGATTTTGGGATTCCAGCACCCCAACCTCTAGACCTCATCACTAGCACTTTTATAAGTTAGCTACGGCAGTCTCAGAGAGCAAGAAAAGATTATTTCCTTATTGGTGATAATGAGAATAGCTATTTCTTTCCTACCTCACAGATAATTGCCCTTCTTCCTGGTTCTGACAACATGAAAGCACCTTCAGCATGAGATGAATGAAAATCTTATATACATAGGTAAATGCTTTAAGGATTAAGTGACCTAAGTCATGTACTCAAGACCTTCATTTTAATATAGCCTACCTCCCAGGGTGTTGATCAATCAGAATTGATTGGCATCTCTTGGGAACACCTACTCTACAAAGGGCATATAACCCTGTACCCCCAAATCCCAAATTAAGCCAGTTCTGAACTGACCCCCTTGGGAGGGTGCAGCTCTGGACTATAACTCCCATACCATACACATCAAGCCAGTTTGAGAGAAATAAAAACATGGACACATGCCCTAATCCATTTGTCTCTTTCTTAGAACAAACTCTATTGGGGGGGGGGGGGGGGGAGACGACACAATCTATGCACCTTTATACTTCTAAAAAAATCTTTTTGTTTTTCTTTTTCTCCCACATCACACAGAGATTGGAAGGAGACAGAAAAATCTCTTTAATGATTGGGAATACAACATTTTGGTAATCATTTTATTCCTATAGGTCATAGGAATAGATCATAAATATATCTTGCCTGCTTTGACATCAAAACTCAAACCGGTATTTTCCTTCAGCATTCTAAATATAAAACATTTTGCTTTTCTTTAAAAATCACATGCAGGTCCTTCAGATATGAAATAGACAATTCTCCTTATCCTCATTGTACATAGGAGCTATAATCCAGGCTCTGGCATTTATTAATTCAATAACATTGGGCAAGAGAAGAGAAGGGAATAAGTATTTATTAGACATTTACAATGTGTTAGAGACTGTACTCAAATCCTTACCAATACTATATCATTTGAGTTACTTAATAGCTTACATTTATATAATGCTTGAAAGAAATTAATATTATATTATTATATTGGTAACTAATAATTAATTTGTGATCCATCCTTTTTCCTCTTATTTCCTCCAGAAAAGGTCAGTCAGCCTCTGAAGGGCATGGCTGAGTGGTGAAATTGCTCCTAGACCTCAAGGCTAATAGGTGGGACCCCACCCAAGTAGGATACCTAATTTCTCCTTAGAGTATAAACAGAATTCAAGTTTAGGCCAGCCTTTGCCTGGAGGAAGTGCTTGAGTGCCAGCATTAGAGTTATGGGTAACTCAGCTCTTGTAGGAGAAAACTAGTTAGAGAGGTGTGGATGGAGACGGCTTCAGCTTGCCCAGATGCCTTGAAGCTGCTGAGTCTCCAGATCAAACAGGAATTGCTGAAGATTTTTTAGCCCTTCTCCTTATTAAAAGTCCACCAATCGGGGCTGATTTTCACTAGACAGGGAAGTTCCCTTTCAAAAGGGATTTTTAAGGCATTTCAGGACCTTCCTTGGCTTCTTTTGTTATTACTGACCATCAATTTATTGATTGCCAGCTAGCCTAATTAGTAAATTGATTATTAATTACCCAGAAACTCTGTCAAGATTTTCATTCATCTCATGCTGAAGGTGCTTTCATGTTGTCAGAACCAGGAAGAAGGGCAATTATCTGTGAGGTAGGAAAGAAATAGCTATTCTCATTACCACCAATAAGGAAATAATCTTTTCTTGCTCTCTGAGACTGCTGTAGCTAACTTATAAAAGTGCTAGTGATGAGGTCTAGAGGTTAGGGGTGCTGGAATCCCAAAATCACAACATGTGGGTCCTGCCCGAAAGAATTTGACCGAAGCTTTCTTTCAGCCAAAAAACAAGGCTTATTGAAGATCCGCCGTATTAGCCAGAGTCTTAAGGAATCTGAGCATCTGTGAGCAATTGGCTAGATTGTAAAAATCTGAGCAGTGGCTAGATTTAAGAATCTAAGAAGTGGCTAGATTTTAGGAATCTAAGCACCTTATTGGAAACAAGATGGACCTTATATACAGAAAGACTATGGGACGGATCTAGGAGTGGCCAAGTAGTCTATGAGGCAATAGAACTACAGGGGTGGTCAAGGGACAATGGAGCCTAGATAGGATTAAGGGTGGGAAGTGGGGGGGGGGGACACCATAGGGAGGTCTAGGCTAGGGTAAGGGTACAGAGAATTGGGAGAGTGAGTGTAGCCACAAAGAAAGGCCACTTGATGGGATTACAGCCTCAGGGGAACTCCAGAGATAAGGCTGAGTGGGAAAGTCCAGGATTTTTCCTTTTTGGGGTCTAGCTCCCATCCTGATCACTAGCACAGGTTTCCAGTCTGGTGTTCCCATACTGGTTCTTATACTAGAGAGTTTATGGTAGAAAGAATGAGGGGAAATGAAAGAGTCAGAGGAGATTTCTTTATGGCTAAACACCATCTCCCTTGGAAGCCTGGTTTCCTAGGTGGCATCCTTTTTGTGTCTGTTCTGTGTTTTGTGTGGCCCTGGGAAGAGTCTTGGGCAATGGATGGTACTACAAGCTGCTTGTGTCTTAAGGCAAAGCATACACCTATACAACTCACCAGAAATAATGCTATGGCACAAGATCAGAGAGAACTGCATCTTTTAAAAACATATTTTTGAGTACTTCTGTATTTTTTTTTTCAGGTATACCTGTACCTGAAGCGTTGAGACCCTTTGCAGTCAAAGGTTATAGGACTTTTGCAGGTCTTTGCAGCAACCCATAGAGTAGAGCACATATTATTATACTCATTTTATTATCTATAATACAGCATAATGTTATCCTATATTACCTATTTATTCTCTATTTTACCTATAATATCCTAGATATTTATTATCTATATTATCTATAATGTCCTAGAAATTTATTATCTATATTATTCTATATTATCCTTATTAATCCTTATCATCCTTATTTTATGAGGAAACAGTGCCCTTAAGTTCAGTGAGGCAGCTATAGTTTTGGGCTTTTGAAATGTTAAAGTTTAGACTGTTACTCATCTTTCAGTCTGAGGAGTCCAGGGCAAGCTCTATGCTGCTACTTAACTTCCTTGAGCATCAGTTTATTTGTTTATGAAATTGAGATAAAATCACTTACCTAATAATATATATGAATAGTCTTGCTGTGTAAGTGGATTGTTATTATTATTATTATTGTTATATCCAAGCTGCTTCAAACTCCAAAATTACATCGCTCCCCTAATCAAATCCCCCACTCCCTCAGTGCTGCTGTCTTATTTCATGTTAGCAGGAGAGCCAATCCATTGAACTATTTTGTGCAAATTTATAAATGAGTTAAAATTCATTGTAAATTATATAGGAATGGCAGCAATTTGTGCATAGCTACAAGAATTCAGGACAAAAGTAACCAATGCTACTCTTCCCCTTCAGGATAGCTAGTAAAGTATCAGGGTAATTTGCTTATCCCTGGCACTAACAGCCTGAGATTTCATAGGAGCATAAAGGAATATATTCATGTTAAACTAAATATCGGTCTTGGGACAATTCCCATTGAAAAAGAAATGAAGAAGTCAAAAAAGTAGATTTAACCTAAGGGACTGGCACAGTGTGACTTTGGGCTCTGACTCACAAAAGAGCTGAAATACACTTTTGCCAATCGCCTCGCTGCCACCCCCCCCAAAAGAAAGCTGAAATAACTGAGTCTATGGGCAGGCTCATAAAAGAACAATAAACACTTGCTTTTGCTAAATAAACAGCTTAGTCACCATTCAGTAGAGAAGCAGCAAATGGAAGCTC